TAAACCCATAAACCCTACACCCTAAACCTAACATCAAACCTGAACCCTAAACCCATAAAAAAGCCCGAAGCGATCCGCTGCCTGCACCAACCGCGACTCGCCCAGGAGTTCTTACCTCAGATCAAACCACGGTTTTCAAGTCCAAATCTGGGCTTCTAGAGTTTAGGGTTTAGGGTTTAGGTTTAGGATGGTTTTAACATGCTTTAGGAGGGTTTGTGCGGGGTTGAATGTTAGGGTTTCGGTAGAAATGCACCCGTTTTGGACTTTTTCCTTGCGGGGAACGCTACACTTGCGCGGTTTTAGAAGTAGGGCTACAACTCAAAAGTATCTCGTTGGGCTTATGAATACTACAACTAGACTTACTTTCATTACACACATACTTACGAAGTCCCTTGATCCTCAAGCGTTTAATTTAGGATTTAGGGTCCCGAGTCCCGAAACTACGTAACACTAACGTCACTAATAGGTAAATAGCTTACCACTGTAATGTTTGGCGCTTGGCTGTAAGGGTCTTAGGCATGGGGCTTCAGTGATCTATGGTTAGTCCCTTAAACGGAAGAATCCCGGATATGATTTTCCGGAACACCACAGTCAGCCACAAGCATTGTTTTACGGGTTGTTCGAACTGCGGTCGAAGTGCGATCTGTTGATGCTACACGAGAGGGCATGGGTGAAGTTGAGTCTAGGGCCTCAGGCCTGGTGCCTGGGTTTGGGGATATCTACACTCAGGCCAAACCTGAGAAGGGGCCTCATTACAGAGCACTGTCGTTTCAAAACGAAGTCACATAAGGTTCCCTGAACTGTTCGAAGGGCAAGATGTCAAGCAGCTTCCGGAACCCAAGCGGAACCCAAAACTTCTGAAGGCCCAGGCAAGAGACCTAGCCAAGATCTTGAAACCCTAAACCCCTAAACCGCCCAAGCGCGCTCTTGTCATCCACTATTGCGCAATCTTCTATTTAGGAAAGTCTCCCCTGCGCTTGGGTCTAGGTTTTAAGGCTTGAGGAGTTGAGGGTTTACGATTTACAGCTTCGGCTTTCCAGCCCTTGCTTGGACCCTTCCTTCTGGGGCTTTCTTCGGAGAGCTTTCAGGGTTTGGGGGAGGTTTAGAGTTTAGGGTTTAAAGGCTTCGACGCCACTGCTCATCCGCCCAACCATCAATTCCCGCCCTGGCGATCTTTTCTCCCGGAAGACTGCAATCTCGAAGCCCACTCAAGCTGCAAGCCCCCTGTAAGCAAAGCCCAAACCGTCTAATAAAACCCCTAAGCCCCAGCCAAAGGCGGCCAGGGATCTCATTAGCTCATCCCGGTCTGCGAAAGCCACCACGGGAGCCAGGATAACAAAGATCTCGGAGCGCTCGACGTAGCCTTCCGGGGTACACGTTTAGGGTTGCTGTTTAGGGATGTCTGGTTTAAGGTTTAGGGCACCCTAACCATGCACCCTTAACCGTCCGCTCCGAAGCCTGGGCCTAAGCCCTACACCGCCTTGTTCCGTACAACTGAGGGTTTCAGGTCTTGAGTTTTGGGCCCACCGCGGGGTGAAGAAAGAAAGCGTTCGCAAAGATTTACCCTAACAAGTAAACTCTGTTCAAACATTGAGGCCCCTATATTGACCTCTTTCGGGCTTTTGAATTCGGCGCCGACTTCTCAACATGAGGGGCCCTCCCGAGGTCGCACATGTCACCTGCAAGGAGTCAGCCGAAAGCCGAAACCCAAAACTCTAAACCCTAAAACCCCTAAAACTCCTAAACTCTGAAACTCTAAAATCCGTAAACTCCCTATACCCCAAAATCCCTAACACCCCTAAAATTGATCCCTAAGCCCCCAAAAAATCCCTGAACCAGAAACCCGAAAGTCGACGGCCTCGACTTCTGCCCTCCAAAAGCTGTCGAGTCGCTTGGAATGCTGTCGATGGCGCGCTGCAGGTCCAAGCACTGCGTCTTCTGCTCCTGGGGCTTTGGGCTTATGGAGCTTGGGGTTTAGGGAAGTTTAGGGTTTTGGTTTAAGGGTTTAGGGTCTAGGGAAGTTCAGGGTTTAGGGTTTAGGGTTTAGGGAAGCTCAGGTTTAGGGTTTAGAGTTTAGGGCTTAGGGCTTATAGGGCTTAGGGCTTGTGGCTTCTCGGGCTAAGGGTTCCTACACAGAGTGCCATACTCGAATAAAGGTCCTGTAAGGGTTACTACACAGGCGTCGGGCTTGGAGGTTTTGGGGTTTAGGGAGCAGGGCTTTTGGGCAAGATCTTTATTATTTTGTCCTTGAAAAGGTAGCCTATTTGGGTTTAAGATGGGGCTTAGGGTGGAGGGCTTAACGCTTATGGGGTTCAGGGCTTATAAGGGCTGAAGTTATAGGGTTTAAGATCATAGGGCCTAGGGCTTATAGGGTTTCGGGTTCAGCGCTAAAGGCTCTTAGAGTTTAGGGCATGTAGAGTTTGGGGCTGTTCCCTTGAAAAGAGTCAAAGACTTCGGGGTCCCTCGGCTTTTGGGCCTCGTGGTTGCTCGCTGAACCTGAAGCTTATCTATCTAAACCCTAAGCACCCTAAACCCTAAACCCTAAACTTTAAACCCTTAAGATTAGAGAGTGCAGCGCCCTGGTGGCGTGTATTTCTCGGGAATTTAGGAGTTTCCACTCGAGTTTTTACACTTAGATTTTCAGAAAACAACATAACACGGGCTGATGTTCTGTAAGATTAAGGTTTAACGTTTTAGTCGGAGCTTCCTGGTCTGAGGCTGAGGAGGCCAAGCCGGTAAAGGCCACTGAGACCTAAACCTCCGAACCACTGACCTGAGCCCAAAACCTTGCAATGCTTGAATGTGCTTAGGGTTCGGGGTTTAGGGTTTAGGGTGCCTGAACCTCAAAGCCCCTAAACTTTAGACAGAACCTGGCTAGATGGCACTGATGCGCGAAGACCGTCCTCGGAAGCCGTAATTTGAGGTACGCTGAAGTAGTCGTACCATAAGAACCTGCCAGAGAGCCCGGGAAGTCGGGCGAGTTCCGGATTCAGGAAGATGCCACAGGAGGACGGCAGTCAGCTCATGTCTCTGCAAGGGCAACAAGGCGGAATTATTGTTGATGTAGATGTGCGTCTAGAGTCTAGAGTTTGCGAGGAGAAGACTCAACCCTAAGCACTCAGCCCGTAACTGTTGGACAGCTCCAAGTGGCGGTGTCGACAAGCTGTGACTGTCATCCCATGAAGAAGCCGTGCACCCGAAATCTTGCACAGTCGAATTTGAATTCCAGTGCCCGACCGTTGCTTTGACATGCATCGCCCTAAACCCTAGCGGCTAAACTCTAAGCCCCACTTGGACAAACAGTTTCTCCATGAAGGGGTCTTGGCACCGTCTTGGTCTGGAGGCAGCCCCAAGCCCAAAAGAGACAACCCGTCGTTTCGAGGACGACTCCAGACCTTTTTACCTTCCGCTTCAGACACCCGCTGGCCCCTGAAGCTTTGACCCTAAGCCTGAAAGGGTCAAGGGTTTAAGGTTCCTCCAAATCCCGAAGGAAACCCGATCCAAACCACTCGGGCGGGCGGCAAGGGCAGCTTCCGCAACGCTTCGGGCGTCACCTGCGCATTGGGAAAGCTTTGTGGTCCGGATTGAGGGCTTAGCCAAGGCTTAGCCCCTAAGCTCTGAGCCACGAAGTGGACATGCGCGAACAAAGGTACCTCTAGAACCCGGACGAAGCTCTGTCGAAATTCTAAAATGCTGCTGAGCGCAGAGGGTCGAAGGGGGCATAACCTGGGAAGTGCAGGGCACATCAACTTCTAAGGTCTAGGTCCCACTGCCTCGGTATTGGGCTTCCTGTCCCAATACTAAAATCTTCTTGCCTTTTCGACGCCTCTGAAAACAACCCGTAAAGGAACCACCGAAGCCCACATGCCGACCAGCACAGCACCTGGCCTTGCGGATCTTTCTAAGGAAGACGCTGCTTATGACGTCTGCGGAGATCTTGCCTCAAGGCTTGGCACGGTTTAGGCTTCCGGGGTCAGCGTCTGGGGAGGGGTCCAGGGTTGAAAGGGCTCAGGGTTTGGAGTTTACTATAGTTTATAGTAGTAGAAGCAAGGACAACAAGGCAAGAAGGTAAGTATAGGTAGAGAGAGTTGAAGAATTGAGTGGTCGCAAAAGAGATGCTGACAACAACACTATGACACAAAGCAACAGCAACGTCAACAACAACTATTACTGCTTGAATGGCGAGGACGACAACAACGACGACTACCACCACCTTCACCACTACTACCACTATCACCAGGACCACTACTCGGACCACGACTTACCACTACTGCTCCTACTGCTTCTCCTACTCATACTCCTACGCCTTCTCCTACTCCTGGGGCTTTGGATGTATGCTGTGGGATTCAGTCTGTTGTTTGCAGTTGCTTTACGCTCCACAATGTCTGTGTCTCTGAATCTCCTGCACTGCAAGCAGTTACTTGAGACGCGGCCAAAAGGCTCTCATGTTTTGCACCATGTACTTTGTAACACTACAGACTCTGAAAGTCGAAAGAGGCTGCATGCAGCTGTCTCACGAAACTGACTAGGGTAGCTCTCTAGGTTGGGGTTCCTGATTGAGGAACCCAAAGAAGGCGGCACCCTTATAAAAAGGACTCTGAAGGGGACCCTAACTTAGAGAACTACCCATTAACACAAGTCTGCTCTCATCTTGGTCCCCCGGCTCTTACCGGAGAAGATATTGGTCAGTGCCCGCTGCAGCACCCGCGCCTGTCAAGTCAGGGCGGCTCTTGGTCTAGGGCTATATACATATATATATATATGCAAGAGCCACCACGATGAGTATCTCTACACGAAGGCAGCACAACATGCCCCGCAACCTGTTCTAATAGAGTCACCAGAGTTGCCAGGTTCCAGACTGCTCAGAAACAAGTTGCCCGAAAAACCTGTCACATCACGCCCTCGTCTCCTACTTCGGCCCTCGCTACTTAACCCGACAATCCGAGAGCCAGCAATTCTGACACAAGACATCCCCGGAAAAATCCCACTGCCCCCGAGACCACTGGAAGTAAATCGCGGCTCCCATCCGACACTATGGCGAAGCTGGCACTCTATCTCCGCTTGATGAATTCGCAGACGAAGCTTCACAAATTCCTGTCAAGATTTAGAGTTTAGGGCGCAGAACTCTAAAGAAGATTATGCTTAGGACTTACTCTTGTAGTTTAGGCCTTGAATCTTACACGGTGACCCCAGACGGATCACTCCTGCTCGAAGTTGGGATCCGGATGCTCGTGGCCCGCCCACCTGAGCTAGCATCTGCGGCCCGCTACCCGATGACCCTAGTCCAACTTAGAGATCCGACTCCAACCCCAGGACTCTTTTTAGAGATGCATCGACTGAAGGGTTGGCCGGCAAGTATGCCGAAGGCAGAATGCTACCACATCCAATGCCCAAACCACTCTAGATCTTGAACTGAGCCTCCCTTAATCATACAACGGAACCCCAGCGGGCTGCTGGTGCGAGATGAACATAGCATTGCCCATGCTCTCTTGGAACTGCACCAAAACCTTGGTCGATGAACACTGAGAATAAAGCGGGTGGCAAGAAGAATGGTCATCGTACCAGAATGCCCTTAGCAACCACCTCAGTAGCCATCGTAGCGACCTTCACAATCAGAGTGGTGCAGCGTAGACACCACCCAGACAGATTGATAGACTCCTGAAATGTCATTGTGGGCAGCGAACAGTTGAGGAAGCTCGGTATTTCGGATGCAGAGCTGACGGTTCAGTGCTTTGGGTTCCACTGCCCCCTCCGCACAGAATCACGAGCTTCCGCCTTGACATCGTGTATCTAGAGGGCTGCGATTCGACTGGTGCCAGAACTCTAAAGCCCTCCAACTGGGCCACTTACGAAGCGCATAAGCACTGACAGCACTGACAGCACGCAGGCATCACGATCTGAAGGCCCGTTATCAATGCACAGCTTGAGAACTTCTGGCATCCCAGGCTCCAAGCTACAAGTGTTCAGAAGGCTTTAAACTTGAGGCTTTCGGGGTTTCGGAATATAGTATGTTGGTGAATTCAGTTGGGTTTGGTGGATTGCACACGTCTCTTGCAGCAAGCTGCGGACAAATTTTATCCGGCACAGGATTCACTGAAGCCTCGCCTCTTGACACTTAAATCATCTATCAAACACTGAATGGTAACTACAGGCAGCGGCAGATTGCTGCTATCTGCTTGCAAGGCGAAGCACTCCTTCATCTAGAAGCACCGCGTGCGACCTGATCTCGGTCCTGGGCAGCACATACTTAGCTAGATTAGACTGCATCTCGCCCAAAGGGTTCTGAATACTCATACCAAGGTCATGATGCTCCGCAAGGGTTCTCGTCAACTAGTGGGTGTCCTGGTAATTTTACATGCCCAGAATGCCCAAAACCACAAACCCCGAACGCCAATTCCTTAAAAAGGGAACATCGTGCCATACAAGCGTCATGGCCATAAACGTGTCCAATGGCAGCACATACCTGGGCAGGGTCCTAGCGGAACCACACAGATGGCTACTTGGAGGATAAGGCAAATGGTCATGGAGCCATAACTATATAATTCGTAGCCCCAATTGCTTAAACAGGTCTTCGGCGTGTCTTAGGGCGCAGGGTGGTTGGATCTCAACGTCGCACTACGTAACTTGTCGCAGGCTTCCGATTTCCTACAGTCTGAAAGCAAAAGCGAGTCAAGTCCTCAGCTATTCCTGCAACACTTTTACATCAACACCTCTGCAAAACGAATCCACAGCCGAACCTGAGAAGAAAACTGCCTTTGAATCCGAACCCTTCCCAAGGCACATGGGAAACGCATGGCCGCCACGTTCTATCTGCTCATGCTCCAGAAGCTGCTGTCCTGCGAGAAGGACTTCATGGTTGTAGCACATGAAACCTCAAGAGAGCTACGGTTTAGGGTTTAGGGCCGTTTAGGGTTTATCCCACACCTAGTGCATTCGGCCCTCCAGAAGACCTCTATCCCAAACCCAGCCAACATCAGCTTGCCCACCTACACCTCTGCAGCTGGAGCGCCGCAGGGACCAGGCATCTTGAAGAAAACGACCGGTCGTTCTATCGTGTCCCGTATTGGTGACTGGCAAAAAGAAACAAGGTGATAACGCCAGTGCCACAACCTTGCAACCACGTACTCCGTGCCCCAAAACCCAAGACCACCGCGCCACGCCCCTCCTTCCCAAAAGAAGGAAACAAGGGCATTGGCGTGGTCCTTAACCCATAAACCTTCGAGCTCTCCTTGCAAACCCTAAACCCCTGAACCCTAAATTACCACACCCAAAACAGTAAACCCTAAACCCTGAACCCTGAACTGGAAGTGGCACTGGAAGCGACCAAGGCTTCGGGTGCAGACCTCATGCTACGCTACGGAACACCCGAAACTCCTGTCAAATCAAGACCCACAATACTCGTAACTGGTGTTTAGCAAGCAGCAAGCGGAATCAGTGTGTCGCTGTGGCAGTCCTGCCGTCTCTTGCGAAATATCTGCAAGCAGCCCATCGCTGACATTTTGTCCTCAGGCTCTGCAAAGAGCGTTTTATCATGTCTCTCTATGAATCACGGTTTGCGGTTGACCACTGAATGTTTAGGGTTTGTGCCGTTATAAGCCGCTGTTTATGGCATTCGAGTTTGGGAGGTTGAGGGTCTTCGTCTTAGTTATGGTGTTGGCACTTCCACTTGTGTGCTCATCGCAAAAGCGCCTAGAATGCATGGTGGTGCAGCATCACCTGGCTATATGTCCTGATCGTGTCCTTCTGCACATCTTGGGGGTTTCGTGTCTATGTATGCATGTATGTACATCTGCATTACGAGATCGAACGTCTCAACCCCAGATATGTTGAATCCACAACCTGACCCGTACACAATACCATGGGATGCGTTACTGGAGGTTTCCGCGTTGATGAGGTTCTTCTATCTCCTAAAGAACTTTCAGAACCATGTACCGGCACCCTAAACCCAAAACCCTAGACCCTAAACCGAACCCGACTCCAAACCCCAACCCCGAAACCCTCACCCTAAGCTTTTAAACAACTACAACCCCATACCGTTTAGACTAAACCCTAAAGCCCTAACCCCGGGCACACCCTCCCTCCAAGTGCATCCTCGCAACCCGCGAGCCCCGCTGCTTTGCGCCATGGTCCGCAAGGCATTAAGCAATGCTTCAATGGGTTTTGTAGGTCAGGCTTTGAGGGTGGAACTGAAAGAAAGCCTCCAGCATGCTCGAGGCTGCTTTCGGAAACGCAGAGTGGTAGGCGGTTGTGAGGTTCGTAATTTGTTTTAGCGACTTAGGGGGCTTTGTGGAGGGAAGCTTGCAGAAGTCTGCTCGGGCGCTGCTCAATTATGAGATGTTCAACTTTCGAGGCCGAGAAGAGGTCAAGCGAATTCGAAGCGCTTGCAATAAGGGTTGACATGAAGTTCATGATACGGAGTCTAGTGCACTTGTAAGTCATGTCTTTTGTGCTTTCAGGTCGGTGGTGGGGAGGGGGGGGCGGAAGGGGCAAGGATTGGGAAAAGTTATAGCTTCACTGCCAAAGCCTCATCACCATGCCACAAGCACGAAGCGGCACAGGCCGTGCCTTCGAGTCAAACTTGTTATCTGGCATCTTCGCAGCTTGAAGGGTAACCCAGCTGCCTTTCCTGGCGATATAGCGTACGCCCAAAAAATCGGAAGTCAAAAAAATGTTATAAGAATGTTACATGTCGTGCTTAAGGTCTGGGGGACAGCTTCCCTGATTCGAAGCTCCAGAGGCTTATATAAGTTGCAGTCCTGGGGCTGGGCTTTGATTAAGCAACAGATGGCACCTCGGAGTCGGGGACCCAGGGACTTAGGATTTCGGCGCTAAGCTTTCTGGGGTTGGGGATGGAGGGATCAACGGCCCTGAGTAGCAGCCAGGAGCCCGGCCCAAAAATCAACACAAACAACACTCTGCAATTCATCAAACAGGTCCAACTTGCCGAAACTCACCCTAAACATTCAATCGACAATCCTAACCATAATCAGGTGCAAACCCTGGCCCAAAATTTTCGTGGGCGGCTCACAGGCTCCCAGAAGCCCGAAAGCCAGATCTCCGATCTATTAACCCTACAACTCAGACGATTTAAGATTCAGGATTTCGCGAACCCGAATGCCGAAATTGTGGAGCATCAACTGTCAACCCCCAAACCTAGGGTTTCGATTTGGGATCGAAGCCTAGTGCGTATCGATTCGAGGTTTCTGGTTCACGACGGCTTCCGGTGTAGGCAGAGGGAGATGGGAGTATGCCGGTGCCCCAGTGTGTTAGTGTTCGGGTTGGTCGAGTGATTCGGTTTCAAGACGGATGTCGTAAGGGTTCAAGGTCTTGGACGTGGGGTTAAATCGAGCTTCCGTTTTATCTCGGTACACCAAGTGGGAAGTTGTACCTTGCACAGGCCCAACTAGTTGACAATCCCTCCCCCTCTCGAACCCACACAAGTCTGGAAGCATCCGACACAAACTGTCCGTCCTCGGAACGAAGGGCGGACGGGCCGTGATCTTGTCCGACTCCACGAAGGTCGGGTGAGGTCTCGGTGCATGGTGTAGCTCAATGCATGATCAACGCCTAGATTCTGTCGCATCGTTTTCAGCCTTTTTACTAGTGCGTGCTTGCTCAGCCTAAGACTTTGGCTATGATGACCGATGTATCTACATGCTTCCAGCATTATGGGAAAAGGGTCCTGCCAAGCGATACTTAGTAAATCGCTGGAAGGTCGCTCCTGCAAAAGGAAAATTCAAGGCAGCTAATGAAAACAGAGGCCGCCGAGTCTTGATGCACTCCTACGTTGCGGATGGCCTAATAGCACTTACTCCAAGCCCTGAAACCTTGTAGGTAAGCTCAACATGTTCTGGGATGTAGCGTCCGACAGTGCGACGAGCCCACATGACCCGCCCGAAAGAGTTGGCAGCAAGATTGGCAAGCAGGCTGGAAATTCTTCGTTTACGGAGCCATGCAGCTCCAAGGTGGCAAAGACAACATGATCAAGGAAAGTTGAAACGGGTTTAGGGGGCAAGCTCACCACATTGATCGGGTTGCACACCCGCGGCTTCGAAATTATCCTTTGCAGTCACGTCATATACCGTGGTCTGTGCAGGTACTCGAACAACGGCTCGTTCTGTCCGCAAGCTTTGAGAAGCTTACGATTTTCCTTCAGCGCATCAACCTCGCTCAGCTTGGCTACAGCTTCTGCAAACTGCCCCCAACTCTTCGAACGCGAGCAGCTTGCCGTTGAGTTGCAAGGATCTTCCTTGCCCTGTCTTGGACACTGGCGTCCTAGCTCGACGCCCGCTGCACCCGGAAGGGGAATCGGGATGAGAACAAGGGCTGCAGGTTCTGACCTCCTGACTCCTCTTAGACGAAACATGATCTTACCTGGCGGCCCCTCTTGAAGACTGAATCTTTAGATATCTTTAGCCTCTGCGCAAAGTCTAACTGTAAAGCAGTTTGCAACACCTTTGGTCTGGCTGCAGTTCTCTCACAGCCAGTCACAAGCCGTGGGCAAGCGGGCCCTCCCATGAATTACGGTGCAAACTCTGCACTTTGCGCATATACTCCATCAACTGCCTGTTCTCGCAGCCGGCTTTGAGAAGCTCGTGCTCGGCCTTTAGCACCTCCACCTCGCCCAGCTTGGCGACAGCTTCCGCAAACTGACCTTGTCGTTTCAGACGAGCAGCTGCGGCCTGTGCGGACATGATCTTCTTCGCCCTTGCGCAGCCAGCCGCATCTAGCTTTTTCCCAAACGTTTGGTTCCCAGTCAGATGTGCTAGCTGACTACTGACTTGCCCTGCGTTCCGGTGAAGCAGGCCTACAGCAAGCTCTGCTGGCTTCGCCTTGCACAGCATTCCTGCATTCAACAAATGTTGGAGAAATTGTTTGCATTTCAGCAGGCCGTTAACCTCAAGAGCATGAAGATCACGCTTCATCTTCCGAAGCCTTACATCTATGCCCAACTCTCGGGCAACGAAGTCCCGAAGACACTTCAGGATTCGTGGATACTTTTGCCCAATCTGCAGATCCAGCGAGGCTCCTCCACTCCTCTGCTGGATGTAGCCCTCTGCATCGAAGAAGCCAGCGAAGTACTCCCAGCAGCACGGACCAGCGACCGCCGAGTCGTACTCCTTCAGGGCACGCAGCTCGGCCTTGCAACCCTCTCTGCAGGACTTTGCCTTGGGCCACCCGGCCGCCAACACCGTGTCTCGGGCTTCAATATTTATAGGGTGTAGTAGGATGCATCCGCATCGGATTTAGGCGCCAGGTTCCGGGTAGCTCAATCGCAGACGGACGCCTGCGATTGGATGCTTGGGATTCAGCGTCTTGGCTTGCAACTCACCACAGCGATAAGTTATCCTTGCTTGGGGTGTGCCAAAGGTCAGGGCTCCTGGTTTAAGCTTCGAGGTTCTGGAGCTCACTTAAAGGTCCACCGTCTAGAGGCGAGGTTTGCTTGGTGCATCCCCACTGCGATTGCCAAACCCGCAGTGCTTGAAGTTTTGGGGTCTGGGTCTTAGCGCTGGAACTGCCTTTTACAGTCTATTTGGAAACCTGCATGGCGGTTCGGTCACATTCCACAGGCGCGCGGGCCTTCCCACGAATTGTCGTGCAAACTCTGCACTTTGCTCATGTACTGAAGCAACTGCTGGTTTTCATGAACAGCATTCAGAAGCTCGTGCTCCTCGGCAAGCTTGGCGTGAGCTTCGGCACGCGATGCCTTTCGTGTACTTGCGATCTTCTTCGCTCTTTGTCGGCCAGCGGCATCCAGCCTCTTCCCAAACTTTTGGTTCCCGGTCAAGCGCCCGAGCTCAGCATCAACTTGGGCCGCAGTTTCCGTCGTCAAGCCTAAAACCAGCTTTGCTTGTTCTGCTTTGCAGAGCAGTCCAGCAGCCAAAAAATGCTGCAGTATTTGCTTGCAGGAGGTCAGCCCGCAAATCAAAAGCACGTGGGCAGATCCTCCCGACTTTGCGAGTGTGGAATCTTTGCCCAAGCTTCGGGCCAAAAATTCGCGAAGGCACATCAGCACTCGTGGATGCTTTTGCTTGATCTGCAGCTGCAGAGATGCTCCTCCATGCTGCTGCTTGATGTAGCCCTCAGCATCGAAAAACCCCGCACAGTACTCCCAGCTGCACGGACCAGCGACGGCCGAGTCGTACTCCTTCAGGGCACGCAGCTCGGCCTTGCAGTCTTTTCTGTCTGATTTCGCCTCAGGCCACTGGGCCGCCAACAACAGCTGCTTTCGCTTGGTGATGCTATGTGGCACCAAGAGCTGAGCTGCATTTCGGGCTGACTGGCCACATGCCATCCACCGAAGAGAAGGTCTGTGCAGGCCCATGCCATCACGGAGCAGCGTGATACTTCCCCCAAATGTTTCATAAAACAGCATTAGGACCTCGGCCTGGTTGAAGGACTGCGCTATTGACAAGTAGCATCCCGACCAGTTCGGCTGACATGAAACGCAGCCATCCCCATCGAAAAAGCCGGACAAATAGGCCTGCCTGTCTTCCGAGTGCAGAGAAGGCACATCTCTGCTTTGGGCTCGCAATGGCAGTCTGTAGCTTTGCCCGTCCGACGAGAAGCACTTCAGTTTGGGCCACGGAGATTTGCTCAGCTGCACACGGAGATGCTCGTTCTTCTTCTGCAATTCCTTCAACGTATCAGATGCTTCCACGCGGAAATTGCAGCACACGTCGGCGTTAAATCTGGCTGCGCCTACCTGGCTCTTGAGGCCACTGGTGCAGATTGCCGGTGATAGCAAGCACCTGGTCCACCAGGCGGCCCACCCTGCCTGCCTCTTGGCAAGCACAGCTCGTGTGAACAGAACCTGCATACCCTGTCCCACGCGGTCGCAAGGCACGAGCTCGGCATAGACAGACCGGCGAGACACGAGCAAAACAAGCTACCGAACTTCGCTCCTAGCTTGAAACCCTAAACCACAAACCTGAACCTGTGAGCTTCTTGTTCTTTAGTGTTTGACTGAGACGGAATGCGTTTATGACGGGTTTGAAGTTGAGGAGATCTGTCGGGCCGCTCTGCGGGATTTTGTCTCCGGCCACTGGGCCGCCAGCCTTGGTGATGCTACATGGGGCCATGAGTGCAGTTGCGGGCTGACTGGCCACATGCCACCGGCTTAAGCAGAGATTTCCGTAGGCCCATGCCGCTCCCACCCGGGCGTAACAAACCCGAAGCCGAAGACCAAATCCTCACTCAAGAAGCCGGAAAGCAGTTTCTACTACATAATACCGGGTATATCAAACCTCCAGCGATCGGCAACTATCGGGAGTCCCATAGGTGAGTTCCTATTACAGAGAGATTCCCCCCTTCAATAGAAGCACGTAGCTGAGGCGTGGTCATCACCCGCCGGCCGGGGCGCCAGCTGATCTGCAGGCATTGAAATTTTGGGTTTAGGGAGCCGGCTGAGGACTGCGAGAGTCGCTAATATAGGTCCTTAATAATTAGAATACGGTTTTGGGGGGTTCCTTTACAAGGGTTCCCTTAAAGGGTTGTATAAGGGCTACGATAAGGGTTTAGGGTGTAGGGGCCTTAATATTTAGAAAAGGAACCCCCGAAAGAGTATTGGTAATGATTTAGGCCCCTATACTAGACTCGGCTCAGTGGGCAGTTGAGCTTTTGACGTTGTCGGGTTTGAGAGCCACCACCCTGTGCTGACTGGACCTAACCGCAGGAAGCCAGGACGCAACCCTAACACGTCGACATCGGGCGTGGCTGTAGCAAGGTCCCAGGAAGCTGACATGGAGCTATGATGAGAGCGTAACTTGTTCAGTTATTGATATTGAGCCCCCAACTCAGCGGAAGGCAGCCCAGCTGTACGGGCACGATTGGCGAAATATAGCGCTATGCATCTTGGTGATGACACTGGACACTCCAAACATACCACCATCATTGAAGTGGATTCTGCCTGGGATTCCCCGCCCAATCCCACGTGCTTCGCAGCAATTGCTGACACAAGAGGCAATGTCCAGAAAAGCCACTAACAATCGCCTTACCGCCGAATACACACTGCCACACCTAAGCCCAAACCGCGAGACTTGATGCTCCTCCCAAACATCAACCGTGCTGGACATGCTCCTCCGAACCTTTGAACTCACTCCCCACCCCGCCGTCGCATCGCAACTTAGCACATGGAAATACTTCTCAGTAGGCCCTACACAAAAGACCATGAGAACGAGGATGGTAAACCCGAGACTCTGAACGTCCATGGGAAATCGAATCTCTCCCAAACCCGCAACTGAACTTTGACGCACTCCCTCCGTGGCTGCACAGACCTCGTCGGAGTACATGCGGCTAGCGGGGAGCAGCATCTTCCCCTGCACCAGAATCGGATGAAACTTAGAGGGCCAGTTCCGTAAATCCGAAACGAGCCTAAGCCCTAAACGCCTAACCCCAAGACCTACCCCCTATAGGGCTTCAGTGCTCAAGGCCCAGCTCTGGCTCAGGGCCCTGGAAGGCTGTGCTTCTGGCAAAAGTTTGGTTATGACTCGGCTTTCGGATAAAAGGTTAGGATTTCGAGTTTACAGCTGTGAGAAGTTGACAGTTGGGCTTTTTGTTGATGAGTCTTCCGACAAGATCCGGATAAGTCCGGCTGGACCCAGCACCTATCGGGCTCTGGGCCTTGTGGAGTTCGAGTTGAGAGCTCATGACGGGAAGTCAGGTGCTAAGCACTTCAAGGAGACTGCATAGCTTCCAAAAACAAGGGATCCCGATGGATCCCGAATATGTATAGCAGGGCCCCTGGCACAAGGACTCAAACAGAGACCCCTTGATTCGGAAGCTTCCAGGCGAGGGTTGAATGTAGTTGGGGTCTTGGAGTTTGTCCGGTCTAGCAGTACGCTTGCAACAGCCTGCACAACGTCCTCCTTCCTCTTGCCCTCAATGTCTGTCATGTACCTGTCACGGCGGCAGGATGTCTCGTCATCGTTTTAACTTTCCAGGGCATGCTTTTGATGATACTTTCGTGTCGATCGTCGGAAGGTTAAGAGTTCACAATGCGGCATTCAGAGCCAGGCTTTCCCTCAAGAGCTCCAGTGTAGGAATTTTCCAAGCCTTTCAACCTACAGATGGAACTTAGGCTTAGGAGAGTGCTGCCTGATGCAGAGGTCAAGACCAGACGTGTTCAGTCCAAGCTTTAGGATTGGGAGCTCTGACTTGACACCCCAACCATATAACGACCTTGCAATCGAAAGCCTCAAAGCCGACCTAAACCCGTGCCTAGGCCTAGATCCAGAGCCTCAAACCCTGAAGCCTCTAATCTCCAAACCAAACCCTACGTGTACTCCTGAACCCCTACAAAACCGCCTCAAGCCCGATAGATCCCGAAACCCAGAATCGTCCTGAGCACGTCACCCCAGGAGTCCCTTCTGCGCGATGCCGGTGAGCCCCTCGCGCGCGGGGCAGTCGACGCGCTTGAGGCCTGCCGTGCCAACCACTCGTTTTTCACGGATTCCACTGCAGCCCTGAAAAATGGATCCGGTTGACCGCTCTGAAACCACCTGGAAAAGCAGCGAGGCTGCTAGTGCTGACTGTCTCCCTTGCGCACGCTCGCTCATTTTTCACGGCACGTCTGCGCCGAAGGGGGCGCCGACAAGGGAGATGTCTGGCCTCGGGTAACGAGACTCCTTATGTTTATCGTGATGGTAGGGTGTGGATGACGTCCGGTTTAGAATTGTGTAGGGCTCTTATCGGAGAGCATAATAGCCCTTTCGGATGCTACTAAAACCGAAACGGAACCCGAAAGACCAGAACCCGAAGCCCTACATGTGGAACAAGAGAAACCGGAAGAGTGGAAGGCATGAGCATTAGTGGTTACTGGACTTCCACTGGCAGACACCAACCACGACCACAAACTTGGGACAAGAGGCAACGAACAGCGTCATGAAAATCACGACGGGCATTGAGATTTCAGTATAGGCTTTTGACGTCTTCCTTACATTACTCTAGCGGCTGATGCCCTCATGTCCTTGACGTCGAGACGCGAAGTCCAAAACAAAACATCTCGACTTCTGAGTGTCTTTGCATTACCTTTACACGGCTGATGACCCCAAAGTCCTTGACGTCGAGACGCGGAGTCCAAAACGAAACATCAAGACAAGACCTGCCTTGCCAACCTCCGAGTCGTGCAAGATTTGAGAGCCCAACCTACCCATTAAATAAGGAACAGACCTTAAAATTATAGGTGATATTAGGATTTAGGGTATATTCCTTATTTGAGGGGTATCGGGCTCTCTGGGAAGATTTGAGGGTCCACGGCGGGTGACCTTAAAAAAAGCCGCCGCCGAGCCACACGAACTGGCAGTTGTTCGCATCCAGCATGGGGTTTGGCACCAAACCGACTTCCTGACGTCACAATGGCAAGAACAGACAAAAGGCAACTGACAGGGAGTTGGCCTTCTGAGAGCGAGCTCCTGTCATTAGGTTGCGGACACTAGGTCGAGGGTGATCTGGTGCAGGTGTAGACCGTGTAGACTCGCCATGTAGCGCTTCAAGGCTTCACGGTTTATGGCGATGACTGCTCGGCACGATTTGTTTTCCAGGGGTTCCAATGGTTTTGGGCTCGGTGCGTTCGGGCATGATTACTCAGGACCTCGGCTTGGGCAGCCGTCACTCTACAACATTGGCAAGCCCTAGCCCCAGCCGGCTCTACATCCCAAAACCCCCGGGGACTCTGGGACATGATAGAAGACGATTTCAGCCGGGCAGCGCTTGGCGCCGTGCTACCTGGCGCCAGCAGTCGCTTGTGGACATAGAGCACCTCCAGAACCTGAGAGCTGCGGTCTGTATCTCAGACTGTGGGGCTTTGGGGTGTTGAGCTGCGGGCCTATATAGGGTGTAGAGTTTGGGGGTTCATGGAAGTTATGACTCAGAGAGCTGGGCCTTAGGGCTTTGTGTTTGGGTTTGGGCAGAGTCCAGCCTTCGGGCTTCAAGCATGATGACGCCTTTGGGTCTGATTGGGGTGATGAGGGGCTTCAAGGCTCAAGAGAGCGGCTTCGGGTCTTGGACAGGCTACCTTCCGTGTTCCGCTATTTTGGCTTCCTTCTGAACGGTTCCTTCGGTCCCTCCAAGGGGGGGGGTCTCCAGGGTAAGTCTGGTAATGAGAACCAATGGTCAAGGCTGGGCTCGCAAAGCCTCTCCTACATCAGGGTACAATCCTAAATCCTCAGCCCTGCCTAATGTAGGAGCCTTCACAATTAGAATAGGGTTCTGGGGGTTCCTTATTATAGTTACAGTGTGATATACCTCAAAAACCTATTCTAATTGTTAAAAGGCCCCTGCATTAGACCCTGAACCTGGGAGCTTCTTTGTAAAAACCAGGGGACATCGGGGAGCTGACAGCCAGCGACGTTCAAGATGTCGCCATAGCCTCGGCTTCATCGACGCCGAAGCTACAAGCAACGTGGAGGCTCACGGCCACGGGATGACGGTTTGGGATCTCTCGGGCTGGTGCTCGAACTATGTTCTCGTGTTTGCACGGGAATCCGAAGTTAAGTGCCGAAATGGAGGCCAAGTTGGGGTTCCCTAAACCCTCAACCCAAGGTAAGATTCAAGATTACGGAGGGTGACGGCTCAGGGCTGCAAGGGTTCAGGGTGTTACCGCGTAACCTTCCTTGGGGGGCAAGGTCTAAACCCCCCGAAACCTGCCAGCATGTAGAAATTTGGGTTTGATCTTGTAAGAAGGCTTATAGGGTCTATGTTGGGGTCCCTTGTTTGATGAAACTGCAACGCTGGGATCTCCGGCTTCAGGCAGCGAAGGCCTCGTGGAGGCAGCTTCAACTCATGATGGCGCGGGAGCCTCCTAAAGCCGAGGTCCAAAGCCCTGCAAAAAGCCGAGAGGTCTGAAGCCTGAAACCTGGACTCCTCGAAGCCCATGAAGACTGCGGGGTTGCTCTGCAACTTTTCCGATGCGTTTTGGTAGAAACGACAAACGGGCTGCTAAATGTCCTAAGCTTCTCCTTACGGTCGAGGTCGCTGTTTTCTGTAAGAGCTCGGGCGACACCGCCCAGTGAAGACTCCCGCCTACATTTCTTAGAGCAGCGCTGAGGCGATCCCGTGGTTCCGAGAGGCTGTTGCCGTGAGCATGCAAGAGCACAAACTGCTCGGCCAGCTTTTCCAGCGCACGCGCCTTCTCAAGAACTTCAGCGAGCAGTCACTTCAGTTGCCGCACTCATGCCTCTCCTTTACGAAAACTGCTCACGCATACCATATGCCCAAAACGCCATGGGGTAAGTTTACGCTTTGGTTCGGATCTGCAAATCTCGCAAGACTCACTGCATTACAAGGATCTTTAGAACAGCCCCTGAACCTTAACCTTCTAAACCTTGTATTGCCACAAGCCTTTATAAACCCCAAGAGAAACCTCCTCCTTCTCGAAATACAACACTGTAACATAGAAGTATCTTGCTTAATCTAGAAGCTTGAATTTGATTTCCGAGGGCTCCTATTCTGAATATCAAAACCCCTATATGAGCAAAAAACCTTTCAATTCGGTAGGATGTGCAAGGCCTTGGTCTCGTAGTCGCCCCCGCGCATGGGCCGACCCAGCCAGTGCAGTTCTAGGCAGATCCTGAAGAGGAAACTAGGGATTTGGGGTAAACGGTCTGGGACTAAGACTTCAGCGTTTCGGGGTTTAGGGCTTTTACAGTTTCGGTCTTGCGGCTTCTTTAGAGCTGTAAGGCTTTCGGTTTTAGGGCTTGTAGGGTTCTTGGTTGCGTTTCCAAAAGCTGTCGGCTGTGACCCTTTAGGCTTTGGGCTGTGGGGGGGTTGCAGGCGGGGCTTGGGAGCTGCAGAACCCTCAGCTGCTGAACCTTAAATCTCCCGACAAAAGCCTGAAACTCGTTTACATCTCCCCGAACCCCAAGCCCCTTATTGCTTGAATACCGACACCCCGAAACCGAAGCCTCGAAACCGAAGCCTCGAAACCCGGAAATCCTATGCCCAAGAGACCGTAAAACCCCGAAGCTCCCGTCAAAGTGCCCAGGCGCTGATCAAAGCGGCTCAAGACTTTCTCCGGGGTGGACCTCTAGGTTCAATCGCTTTTGGCTGCAAAGCACAAGGGTTAAAAAAAAAAACTAACTGGTTCTTCAGGGTCTCTGGCATTTTTGTTCGGACGTTTTTGCCTCGGGGTTTAGGGTTTACCCCTGCCTTTTTTTAGGGTTTCCTGGGGAACCCTAGGCAGCCCCCGAACTTCCAAAGAGACCTCCAGAACCGGAGCCTTCAGCTCTGGGGCTGAACCCAACACCCGAAACCACTGCCGGGGCACAGGATCGCGGCGAACCTTGGAGTTTGGGTGAGGGCCGAAACCGTGTTCAGGGCTTTTAGGTTTTGGGGTTTAGGGCTTGGGGTTCAGAGTGCACGGTTTAGGGGTGTTTCGAGATGGTGGCATTTCGGTTTTGGGATTTCAAGCGTATATGGAGCCCAGAAGCCACAAGCACAATCAGACTGTCCAAAAAGCGAAGCCTCTCCGGGTCTGAACTTGCACCCTTGAGAACCCAAACTGCTGCATCTTGAAAAGGTTCGAAAGCTTCGGACATGTGGGGTCTGTGAAATCTGAAAGCCCAAAGCGAAACCCCCCTACTCTAAACTCTGAACCAGCTCGTCTCATCCCAGACCGCGAAATTCCCAAGTTTGCAATGCAAAAGCACACAGCCCCTTCAGCCTGAAACAAGTCAGAAGTCTGGAACCTTAAACTCGGGTTACGGCTACAGCCTTATGTTGCCAGGTTTAGCTGGGATGCTCGGCGCCCTCCACATCCGCCTCTTTGGGGCAGGCATTGGGAGTCTGACTGGAGAAATTCCAGAGTGCAGGGTAGAAGGATGCCTAAGGCATGCTGTGTGAGGTTTGTTGATCGCAACTGCGCGGGTTCCATGAGCAGGTGACGACTTATGTCGGCTTCGGAAATTCCAGCTGTACATCATCAGCAACCAGCGTACGCCACGAGCTTCGTCTGTCGGGTTCACAGACAAACTCGTCGATGAGCTGAAAACATAGAAGCAAACTCGAGGACCCGTCTAGAGATTGCTTGCTGGGTGAAGGCAGGCAAAACATCGTTGCAACATCCGCCGCACAATCCTAGCGGGGCTCACCCAAAACCCCAAAGCCTAGAGCAGCGGTCATCATCATCGTGATCGTCATAGTCGAGGGTGGTGGTGACTGTGGCTGTGGCTGTGACGGTGGTGGTGGGGACGGCGGCGGTTGCGGTGGCAGTGGTGGTTGTCGCTGGCAGACTTCAGAAGAATTGCCGTCCGTGCCTTCAGCGCGATACGCGCACCGTCGGCAAAGGCGAGTAGCTGCTCAAGGTGCTCCTCTCCACAAGCCAAGACACATTTTTTACAGACAATTTAACTTATATGTATATTATAGTAACTATGTATATTCTAGCTTTGCAGCGCTTAGCGGCATGTGCATACATAACAAGGCCTTCGATCTGCGACTCGAACAGCCAAAAGGGGTTGACGGTAGATTTCAAGGGCCTACAGCATCACAACAGCAACATCTTCGGGTAGTCGGGTAGCTTGTATGTACGAAGAATACGAACCCGCACCGGTCAGAACAATTTCCCCATCCAACGCATGGCATCAATCGTGACAGTAGATCAAAGCCCTCTACATATGCCCCAGAAGAACGTGATGCCTTCGGCATATTCATGGGATGCTTGATGTTCATTTGAAGCTTACAACTTAGCCTTTGAGAGGGGTGGGGACAGTGGAGCTTTCGGTTTGGGTACCGGACCTTCGTGTTTGAGGTTTCGGGACTTCGGGTTTAAGGGCTTAGGCTAGGGCTATTCCACTTCGGGTTTGCTGACGTGGCTGTCATGGTAAGAGTTTCAGCATGGCTTGGGACCTCAGGCTTTGGGATTTTGGATTCGCTGAAGGAAAACCTCGCTCTACTTTCAGACCGACAGGTGACGGCTTACGCAAATTCTGCGATCGTCGTCTTTGCCGAGCAGCTGATCCTGCTTCCTGCAGTAGCTTCATCCCACAGCACTACAGCAGCAGAACTGACTCGTGATCCAGCTTCGCCAACACCCTCATCATCGCATCCCGAACAGTACACAGGGTAGCTTCTGGTTTAGCGTCGTTTTGGAAATGGGCTCTGAAGCACCCTCCACCCGTCCTCCAAAGTCCCAGCCGTGCCTGCGGTCAGAAGCCATGGAAGATGTTTTGAGCTTCTGGTACGGATTGCACGGGGCTTTCGACGGCGCGCTGTCATGGGCACAACGTTGCACTGAAACCAATTTTTGAGGCCTCAACCCTTCACTCCGATACCCGAAACCCTCCATTCCAGAACATCACAATCCAGCGAGTACCTTTTGAAAACACGTTTAGGATGTCAGGGTTCACGGCTACGGTTTAGGGTTGAGCCTCGACCCGGAAGCCCACAACCTCAGAAGCCCTCCTCCCAGAGCATCCTGAACCCCAGAGCCTCATACCTGCTAGACGCCCAACCCTAAACCACAAACGCTATTAACCCTAAACCCCATAAACCCTAAACCCCATAAGCGCTAAACCCCATAGTTTATATCAACCCTTGCAGCCCTACAGCCCTAGACCTTCTAGACCTCCATTCCTCAGCCAAAGCTTTCGGAGGCCTCAAAACCGTGGGGTGAAGATCGGTAGGATGAGGGATCCCTCGTATAAGGACTCTAAGACTACCCTAAACCCGAAACCCCAAACATGCCTAAACCCTGAACCTATTAAAACCGAAATGACCCAATTTAGGGGGTGACAACAATTTGAATTGGTTGTTTTTGAGGGCGGATCTTATACTATGATTATAATACGGAACCCTCAAAATAATATAGGTAATTATAAAGGCCACTATAGTACAGCAAGACTCTTATTTGGGATTATTCTAAACCCTAAACCCCATACCCTGGGCCCTAAACCCCCAAACCCTCAGACCCTGCACCCCAAACCCCAAAAAACCCTAAACATCCCCAAACCCCAAACCTTAAACCCTAAACCCTGCACCCTTCACCCCTAACAAGCCTAAACGCAGCTTCCTCCCGCCCTTCTTGCAGCCCTCCGAAGCCTGGCAGCGGCTCTGCGGCCAGCGCCTCGGGCCTCCATCGGAGCCTCTGGGAATCTCTGAAAGAAAAACCAAAGACTATGGGGGCCACTACGGGGTTCATATACATATATATATATATATATATATATATATTTGTATACGGCCTAAGATATAAGGGCTTAGGGTTTGGGATTAAGGGTTTAGGGTTTAGGGCCTAAGATATACGGGTTTAGTGTGTAATTAGAGCAGTTTAGGGTTTAGGGTTCAGGGCTTAGGGTTTAGGGAATAACAGCATGTACGCACGAATTGAACTTGTCCACCAAGTAATGCCCCTAGAAGGGGTATAGGCCGGGTATAGGCTTCAAGTGTTTGTGTATGTTGGTTGGTCGGGGCTTCAGGCGTTGAGGCTTTGGGGATTTAAGGTGTAAGGTTTAGCGCTTGTGCATGCATCCATTGCGGGCTGTCCCAAAGCAACTCCTTGATGACCAGGTAAGTACATCATGCTGGCAACGTTTGGGACAGACGAACAACGTCTTGAAGCTCTATATCATGTTCTTCTGCTGGAAGTATGATACTATGACAAGCGAACACATGCTGCCGACGTCAAGTAAGAACTGTTTCGGCAACGCTTTCTAATCACTTATAAAAGGAAGTCACACTAAGGAACCCTAACAATGTAGGATTTATAGGGATGCCCCTAAACCCTAGACCCTCAACCGAGAATCAGGGCCGTGGCTCTGCAGCAAATGGGCCGTAGCAAATTTCACGGCGGATTTCTTCACACCCTAGACTCCCAACAATTATTGAAGCAAGGCACTTCGGATGCTGCCGTGGCAGTGCTTCCTCGGCTCAGGGTTTAGATGTAAGAATCAGTGCTGCCCGCCTATGTAGAGTGTAAGAAAGTGTAAGATTTGGGAGCAGTAAGTTTCAGAATAGATGCCTGCATAAAATCATCTGCCGACCACGACAACGGCAATGGTTCTACACTTGCGAATCGCGAAGTCTACATTCCTCAACCCCGAATCCTTCACCGGGATCTGCAAAGCATGCTTGACCTCCGACCACGACCACAACAGCACTATCTGGCAATGCTAAAAAACATCGGAGACCGCGACAAAGCCGGGTCCGGAACTTCACATCTACATAAACTTGTTGAGCAGAGCCTATGAGGTTTGAGGCTCGTCGCTCTTGCTTTGTTGGTAGAACCAGTAGCAAGCACTGAGTTTTCGCGGGCTTGCCAAACACGCTGCACAAGCATGCCTGGTCTCATCACAGTCCGGGGGCGAGTGGACCGTGCCACGAAGAGTCGTGCAAATCGTGCAGCTTGCTCAAATACTCGAACAATTGCTGATTTTCACGACGGGCTTTGACTAGCTCGTCCGCATGTTTGAGGATCGCAGCCTCGTGCTGCTTGGCTCCAGCTTTCGCATACTGCCCTCGCCGCTTCAATTCTGCAGCTTGAGCCTGTGCCGACGCGATATTCCTCGCCCTTTCCCGGTCAGAAGCATCCCTTTTCTTCCCAAACTGTCGGTTCCCAGTCCGTGCCTCCAGCGCCAGCTTAGCGCAGATGCGTGCCGCATTCTCCGGTGTCAGTCTCAGAAATAGCATCGACTGTCTGGCTTTGCACAATAGTCCGGCTCTCAGCATGTGCTGCAGTACCTGCCTGCAATCAAGCGGCTCGTAAATCCAGAGTACATAGCTAGACGTACTGCCAGACGTCGACGGCTTGAGCGTTGCATCTGTGCCCAAAGTGCCGGCCAAGAAATCGCGAAGACTCCTCAGCACTTTGGGATGTCGTCGCCTGATTCGTAGAGCCAGCGAGGCTCCTGCTGGCGCCTGCGTTATGCAGCCCTCGGCATCAAAGAAACCTGCACAGTACTCCCAGCTGCATGGACCGGGGTCAGCGGAATCGTACTCTTTCAAAGCACGCAACTCGGCTGCGCAGCGTTCTCTCTCGGACGGTGTGTCCGGCCACTGGGCGGCCAGTAAGAGTTGCCTCCGCCTTACCATGCCGTGCGGCGCCAACATCTGAGCGGCAATGCGGGCATTTTGGCCAGTGACCGTCCACCGAAGAAGTGGTTTTTGCAGGCCCATGCCACCACACTGCAACGTGATACTTCCGGCGAACGTCTCCCAAAACCGCATCAAAATGGCAGCCTGGTCGTAGGACTGCCCAATGCGCAGGGAGCATCCCGACAACAAACGTCCCGAACAAGAAACAGAGCCATCCCCATCGAAGAAGCCGGCCAAATATCGCAATCTCGAAGTTATCGAAATGTCGTGCCAGTGCGACGTAGCGGAGTTCCGACTCCCAGCTCGCAGGGGCAAAGGATAAACGCGGCCCTGCGCTTCGAAGCATGTCAGCTCGGGCCAGGGAGACTTGCTCAGTTTGGCTCGGAGTTTCTTGTTCTTCCTCTGAACAGCCTTCGGCGTATCAGAGGGTGAAACACTTAGACTTCGAAACGTCTCAGCTTGTGGTCCTACTACACCTGCCAGGCTCCCATAGGCAGTGGCGCCAACCGCCAATGCCAGTAAAGCTTCCTTCCACCAGCCCGGTCCCAGCGCTTTCCTTCTCCCTTGCGGCAACAGAGCGAACGAGCCTGAACCCATGAGTCCTATGTGCGAGGATGGGCCATGTTTGCCCTAAAGACTCAAGCCTTCGCGGCACTATGGGGTGTCTGGTGGGTTTCTGTGGCTCTTACTGGCTTCTGGGGCAGTAGACCGGCTGTGCAGCAACCTGCTGTGATGCTGGTATATTCAGGATCTTGTGAGCTTCAACGCATAAATCGCTGGTCTGTGATTGCGCTTCAAGAAATACGACCAGGCTTCGGCAGATGGGCTGCAAGGGGGGTCAGCCTTCGGCGTAAGATTGAAAACTCTGAACTCCTTAGAGCCTGGTTCGAATGCCGGACGGGGTTCAGGCTTAGAGGATGCATAAGGCATGATGTATTACCGGCTGCCATAGCTCGCAGGAATTCCTGGGCGTTGCGCGTGGGGTGACTTTGAAGCCCCGGGCTACAAGGTCGGGGCTTCTAAACAGCCTGAGGCCCTGTTGAAGCTCTGGCGTCCCGAGTCTCTGGCTTCCGGTGCTGGCTGTGCTGCGCTTTTGTGTGGGGGACTTTGCAAGGCTTAGGGCTTAGAAGGCGTGGAGCTTCGAGTCTCGGGGTTTCGAATTTGGGACCTGGTTTTCTGGATCCTTATACCTTATACTTATGCTCCTGAAACTGCGAGTGAAGTCCGCAAGCCTTGCCTCTCCTGGCAGCGGCGCGCTTAGGATTGAGACTTGCGGGCCCGAGTTTCCATAGTTTCCAACTGGGCAAGCTTCTTCAACTACTCCCAACATGCCATCAAGATCTTGAGTTTCAGGACTAGGGGGGAAAATCTCTCAACTCTGACGAAAGCAGGCAAGCCGCCACCGTGTGATCGAATAGAAGCACATCGGTGCCAGTCATCCTCAAGATGCGATGACTTGCTCGTGATCCGTTTGGGTCTGGGATGTTCCGAGTGGTGGTTCGAAACTCCACAACACCCTACAGCCTTCTAATATGTCAGAAGAAGCTGGAGCTATCAAGTGCGAACCTGACACATCCCTAATCTCAATGTTTAACAGCTACAAGTACGTAAAATGTACAGTGATGATTAGCTTCAAGGTGCATCGTTTTGGTGACGATTATACAGTTGAAGGCGATCATGCCGATGCCTGAAAACAGCCGGGTAGCGCGAGCTCCCACTCAAAGTCCACGTTCGTGTCTGCGCCGTAGCCTCAGATAGGAGTTTCTCTTAGTAAGAGGATTTGGGTTCGGAATTTCAGCTTAGGGGCTTGAAATTTAAGGTTGAGGATTTATGGGAACTAAGGGTATCTCTCGGTTCGTAGAATTAGAAGGGAAACCTGTCATCTTGAGCAGGACCGAAGCTTGAAGCAAACATTCGTGTTCTTGCAGGCCTCTGAAAGCCGAAAAGCTCCTTGTCGTGGTGTCCCCAGACTTCCCCTAAACCCTGAACCCTAAACCCTAAACCCCTAAACCCCTAAACCCCTAAACCCGGCATCCAGCCCCGAAGCCCCAAACCCTGGAACCCGAGAGCTCCTTCCGACAGTACCCCGACGCTTCAGAACCCGCATCCGAGACGCTCAGCAGGGCCGAGAAAAGTGGTCTTTGGCCATCGTCCCACACCACATATCCTGCGAAACTGCCACTTACCAACCGCTGGTGTCCAGTTGCAGAGTGCCCTTCAGTGGCCTTCGGAATGTGTGGTGCTCTTGCAGCCTTGATGGGTGAAATTTTGAATGTGCATCCTCAAACATTGCTGATTACAAGAATCGGTCTCCCAGTCTGTTGCATGTTGCTACGGCTCTTGACTGCATGGAGCACACGAGAATCACGATACTTGCAGAAGACCAAAGCTCTGTGAAGCTGCGGCTTCGTATGGTTGCGTGCTGTAATATACCATAGAGAGGCTGCAACACCTCATCGCCGAAGACGGCGGGAGGACAAGGTTGCAAAACGAACCGGCTGCCACCTCCGTCGCTGCGCGGCCCAAGACGCCGCTTCGCGGCCCGGCCGCCACAGGGTACCTCGTTCTGTGCGGCTTGCACACCTAACTTTGAACCCCCAAATCCTCGACCCCCAAACCTCAAACCCCCCAAGAAGGCCAACACAAAAACACAAAGCCTGAGATTTATCCAGAGGCGCCGAAAGCCGCAGAGCTGCGGCGAGCCGACGCTGCCAGGCTCCGTCGTCACTGGAAGCGGGCGCTCGGTTGCTTGGCTTTGGGGGTTTATAGGGCCCAGCGTCCCAAGAATTAAGGCGTAGAGAATCTGAACTACGGAGCTTGGGGGATGTAGATTTTTGTCAGTTTTCAGGATTCGAAGCTAGATGTACTCTAGTCTTCGTTCTGGGGCTGCTGGGCTTCCGTTTCAAAGTCGGTGCAGCGCAGGTCTGGCAGGCAGGATGCCGTCGGCAGGTTTTGGTCTGAAGATTTTAACGGATGCTGGGGGGGGCTTTGTCTTATCGAGGCGGCTGGCTTCAAGATCTACCGTCGTAGTACCCTACAGTACCCTTTAAAGGGGACCAGGACTTCGGGGGGGGTTTGCTGGCAGAGGCGGCCTCCTGGGCTCAAGACAGATCCCGTGGGCTCAGCAGCTTTGGGAAGTTTGGGATAGGCATGGTACTTCGCTGTAGCTCAAGCCTTCTTATTTGTGGGGGGGGGGGGGGGGGTCAAGGCAGGGCCCCTTTTACGGTAGTTGTCTTTGAGTATATATGCTCAAAAGATTCTTTGGCTGCTTCTGAGAGCCACAATGAAGGTTCGAAGGTATACAGTAAAATTATAGGGAAAGGCTCATCCCCACATCGTGAAACCCTTAACCTCAACCCTTGAGCCTTTACCCAACCCAAACACAAACTTCCCTAAACCCTAAACCC